GGTGAAAGGAAAGGGGGAAAATTAAAGGGAAAAGGGGAGAAGGTGAAGGAAAAGGGAAAAAATTGAAGGGAAAAGGGGAGAAGAGAAAGGAAAAGGGGAGAAGGGGAAAAGGGGGAGAAGGGGAAGGGAAAGGGAAGAAGGGGAAAGAAAAAGGGGAGGAAATAAGGGAAAAAGAGGAGGAGATATTAAGGAAAAAGGGGAGGAGATGAAGGGAAAAGGGAACGAGGGGAAGGGAAAAGGGGATGAGGGGAAGGAAAAGGGAAGAAGGGGAAGGGAAAAGGGAAAAAGAAGGGAAAAGGGAACAAGGGGAAGGAAAAGGGAACAAGGGGAAGAGAAAAGGGAAAAAGGAATGAGGGGAAGAAAAAGGGAACGAGGGGAAGGAAAAAGGGAACAAGGGGAAGGAAAAGGGAAGAAGGGGAAGGAAAACAGGAACAAGGTGAACTTGGAGTCGGAGCAGAGCAGCCCAAAAGCCCGGGAATGGGAATGCTCAAGCCCCACCCAGTGGGATTTGGGGGGAAAACGGGATCCAAACCGGGATATTTGACCACCCGGACGGTCGATCCCTCCGGAGTTCTATTCCCGGAGGGAATCCCGCCGCGTTCCCGAGGCTCACCTGGGTGGGAGGGACGGGTGAGGGCTGGTGGGAGCCGGAGGAGGATTTTTCCAGGGCGTTCAGGCGGCTCTCCAGCTTGAAGATGGCCATCTGCAGGTCGGAGACCACTGGGAAAAGGAGGGAAAAATCGGGAAAAGCCACTCAAATTTTCCCAGATCCGGGCGGGATTCCGAGGCGGGACGAGGATTTTCCCCACTCACCGCTGCGGAGGTTTTGGTTTTCCACTTCCAGGTGGGAAATCCGGGCCAGGAGCTCGTTCTGGTCGCCGGCGGCTCCGGAGGCGCTGCCGCTCTGGAAGGAGGAGGAAAAGCGGGATGAGGCGGAGCCGGTTCCGCCCGTTTTCCCGAAAATTCCACACGGCAAAGCCCGGGGGGGAGGAGGGAATTGAAGAGCTTGAACTAAAAAACGTGGATGTTTTCCCCTCAAAGGGTTTTATAAAATCGGGATAGGGAATAAAGGGGCTCCAGGACGGGATAAATCCCGAGGGATTCCAGCCGGCACTAAGGATAAAGTGATTTTCCCGCTCTTTTGCCACGGAAAACATGGAAAACTGATCCCAAATTTCACACCAAACCCCCTTAAAAATCTTGGAATCCCTCAGTCTCCTTCCTCTCCCAACAAACGGAGTCACTGGGAAAGGCAGGAAGAGATCCCAGGATTTCTACATTCCCAAATTCCCGGCCCAGCTTTTCATTCAGAACAATTTAAACCCCACAAATCCCGAGGGAATAATGTGATCCCGAGGATTCCAATGGATTTTTTTGGGGAGGCAATAAAGAGCTTTTTGTTTTGTTTTATTAAGGAGGTTCCTCATCCAGCGATTCCGAGGAGCAAAGGGAAGGAAAACAACGGGAGAGTTTCGTTTCCAAGGGAATAGAAACAGGGGGAATAATTTATCCCACATGGAATTCCAAAGAGATCTCACTTGGGATGGAGAGAAAACAGGGAGAAGAGGAAGAATATGAGGAGCAGGGAAAGGAAAAAGCAGGGCCTGGATCCCAGAAATCCGGGAACGGTTTGGGATGGAAGGGACCGGAAAGATGATCCCGTTCCCATGGAAAGGGAAAACTTCCACCATTCCAGGCTGCTCCAATCCGGCCTTGGACACTTCCAGGGATGGGGCTGGAGATTCCTGGAGTGGGAAGGTCTCCAGGGAGACCCTTCTCCAGAAATTCCACCTTTTCCAAGTGGAATTCCAGGAATTCCGGCGCGAATCCCCGACCCGGGAGCCGGGAGACCTCAAATCCCGAGATCTCAGCCCCAGGATTATTCAGGAGAGGGAGAGGCGGATCCATCCCCAGGGACTGGGAAGGAGCCTCCTCATCCCAACCGGATCCTGTCCCATTCCCTTGGAAAACTTACGGAGGAGCGTCCCGGCTGCTTCCGGGCACGGCCACAGGGAACGTCCCGGCTCCGAGCAGGAGGAGCAGGAGCAGGAACAGGAGCAGGAGGAGGAGGAGGAAGAGGAGTCTTCTGCTGCAGGGAGCGGAAAAGTTTGGGAAGAGGGGAAAAGTTTGGGAAGGCAGGGAAAGTTGGGTAAAGTTTGGGAAGACGGGAAAGGTTTGGGAGGAGGGAAAAGTTTGAGAAGATGGGAAAGGCTTGGGAAAAGTTTGGGAAGACAGGAAAGGTTTGGGAAGGCAGGAAAAGTTTGGGAAGAAGGAAAGGTTTAGGAAGAAGGAAAGGTTTGGGAAAAGTTGGGGAAGACGGGAAAAGTTTGGGAAGACAGACAGGAAAAGTTTGGGAAGAGGGGAAAAGTTTGGAAAGATGGAAAGGTTTGGGAAGAAGGAAAAGTTTGGGAAGACGGGAAAGGTTTGGGAGGAGGGAAAAGTTTGAGAAGATGGGAAAGGCTTGGGAAAAGTTTGGGAAGAAAGGAAAGGTGTGGGAAGAAGGAAAAGCTTGGGAAGATGGGAAAAGTTGGGAAAAGTTTGGAAAGACAGGGAAAAGGGAATGATGTGGGAAGATGGGAAAAGTGTAGGAAGAGGGGAAAGGTTTGGGAAGATGGGAAAGGTTTGGGAAGAGGGAAAAGTTTGGGAAGATGGGAAAAGTTGGGGAAAAGTTTGGGAAGAGGGGAAGGGTTGGGAAGAGGGAAAAGTTTGGGAAGAAGGAAAAGTTTGGGAAGGTGGGAAAAGCTGGGCAAGGAGGAAAAGGTTTGGGAAGACATGGAAAAGTTTGGGAAGAGGGAACGATGTGGGAAGATGGGAAAAGTGTGGGAAGAGGGGAAAGGTTTGGGAAGAAGGAAAAGTTTGGGAAGACAGGAAAGGTTTGGGAAGAGGGAAAAGTTTGGGAAGACAGGAAAGGTTTGGGAAGGCAGGAAAAGTTTGGGAAGACAGGAAAGGTTTGGGAAGGCACAAAAAGTTTGGGAAGACAGGAAAGGTTTGGGAAGGCAGGAAAAGTCTGGGAAGAAGGAAAGGTTTAGGAAGAAGGAAAGGTTTGGGAAAAGTTGGGGAAGACGGGAAAAGTTTGGGAAGGCACAAAAAGTTTGGGAAGACAGACAGGAAAAGTTTGGGAAGATGGGAAAAGTTTGGAAAGATGGAAAGGTTTGGGAAGATGGGAAAAGTTTGGGATGACAGACAGGAAAAGTGTGGGAAGACGGGAAAGGTTTGGGAAGAGGGGAAAAGTATGGGAAGATGGGGAAAGTTGGAAAAAGTTTGGGAAGACGGGAAAAGTTTGGGAAGAGGGGAAAGGTTTGGGAAAAGTTTGGGAAGAGGGGAAAAGTTTGGGAAGACAGGAAATGTTTGGGAAGATGGGAAAAATGTGGGAAAAGTTTGGGAAGATGAGAAAAGTCTGGGAAGGCAGGAAAGGTTTGGGAAAAGTTTGGGAAGGTGGGAAAAGTTTGGGAAGGTAGGAAAAGGGCTTCCCCACTCGGAGGCAGCTCAAGGGCGGGAAAGATCCACATGCAGGGAAAAGTCTTGGAAAAGTCTTGGAGCAGGGGGGATGTGGAGCACCCGGAGCACAAACATTCCTCCAGGAATTCCAGAGGCTTCTCTTGCATCTGAACTAAAGGAGCAGCTCCGGGATGGAACAAATCCCGAGGGATTCCAGTTGGCACCGAGGATAAAGTCGTTTTTCCCGGCCTTGGATCCCCAAAATGCCACGGAAAACATGGAAAACTCGACCCCAAATCTCACACCAAGCCCCTTAAAAAAATCTTGGAATGCTTTGGAATCTCTTGGAGCCCGCGGGAAGGGAAGTTCCTGCAGCACTCAGGGATCATCCCTGGGGCACCAGGGATAAAAATCATGGAATGGCAGAGGCGGGAAAAGCCTCTGGAGTCCATCCCAGCGTTCCCCAATCCCTGTTCTCAGGTGCCACATCCACGTCCCAAATCCTGGGATCCATCCCAAACCCTGGGATCCATCCCAAATCCTGGGATCCATCCCAAATCCTGAGATCCGCAGGGATCCACGATCCCACCGGGGATGGCGGCGACTCCACCCTCGGGCCGGGGTGAAAATTCCAGGAAGGAATTTTCCCAATATTCCACCAGAACCTCCCCCGGAACAACCTGGAACTGTTTCCTCTCATCCCGTCCCTCGTTCTCTGGGAGCAATTCCCAAATCCCACCCGGCTCCACCCTCCCATCAGGGAATTTTTGGGAACAAGGTCCCTCCCGATCCCTCTTTTCTCCAGGATGAGCCTTTCCAGCTCCCTCGGGAAGTTTTCCAAACCCTTCCCAGCTCCGTTCCCAACCCTGGACACGCTCCAGCCCCTCGGGATCTTCCTTGTCATTAAACATCCCAGTAAATCCCAAAAAATCCCTGATCCCAGGATTTGAGGGGCCTCAGCACAGGGAGAGGACACTTTTATTCCCTGTTAATCATAATCCCACAAAAAAAGAGGGAAGAAGGAAGGGATTCAGGGTCTCCAATTGGAATTCCTCCCTTTCCCAAATCATGGAGTAAGAGGAGTATCCAGGTCTCAAAAATCCTGGGATCTGGTCAAGCCACAAGCTCAGAAATCATGGAAAAGTTGCCTCTGTGGGATCTTCCCTGAGGGAAGGATGATCCATGCCTTGGGAAAATGGGATCACCAGCCCACATCCCACTCCCCAGCTTCCCAAATTTTTCCCAACTTTTCCCATCTTCCCGAAGTTTTCCTGCCTTCCCAAACTTTTCCTTCTTCCCACACTTTCCCCCTCTTCCCAAACCTTTCCCATCTTCCTAAACTTTTCCCAACTTTTCCCATCTTTCCGAAGTTTTCCCCTCTTCCCAAACTTTTCCCCTTTTCCCAAATTTTCCTATCTTCCCACACTTTTCCCTCTCCCAGCTCCACAAGAAGTTCCATACAAGTGCCTGGGAATTTTACCAAGGATAAGAATTCCCAAATTCCCAAGGTGGGGAATTCCACAGCGATTTCTCCTGGATGGAACCCCTCAATCCCAAATTTTTTAGTCCCAATTTTGGGGCTGAGCCCATCCCAAAAACATCCTGCGCTTGGAATAATGCCAGGATTCCACTGGAATTCCGTCATCCCAGCAAACTGAATCCCTAGGAATTCTGAAGGCTGCAAAACAGGATCCCAAGCCGAGGAAAGTAGGGATGGAAACATGTTCTTTTCCCGAAAATTTGGCTCCCTAAATACAGATCAAACAGCAGAGATCAAAGCTTTTCCTCATGAAAATTCCTGGTTTTCCCAATAATTGAGGTGCTCCAAGCTGAATTCCCTGGAAAACCCCATTCCTTTGCACATGCCCTAAAAACTGGAGGGGAAACAGGGAAGAGAAGGTGGATCCCAAAAAAAGCCACATTCCAGCACTTCCCTACTCAGCCAAGATCTGTGGGAACATCCCAG